GGAATGAAATTAATATTATGACACAATATATAACAAATATATATATTTTTTTAAATTACACACGTCGCACATGTGAACAGCTAGTATAAATAACATAAACACATAAATTTTAGGTAATTCTCACATAAGCATTGTTTGTGTAGTGGCATTCAAACTATGGATAGTATTCCATGTCAATTCTATGGAGTAGTGCATTGATTGGTTGAAAATTGGTAGATTGGATTAGGAGTCTAACCAGATTCCATGTCCTTCATATGTGAGATTTTTTTGTCAATTCAAAAAAATAATGTATCAATTCCTGCGTATGATGGGCCATTTATATTTCTGTTTAAGTATTAAAATTCAAAAAGTAGATTGAAAAAATCATATAAAATAATTGTAATCCTTGTCACATGGTTGGACTTAATACTATTAAATATATAATTTACCAGGTTATTTCACTTTTTTATGTGTATGTATGTAGAAACCACTTTGTAACTAAAAGATAAATAAATAATACACCCAACTAACATTGTAATATTATTATTATTATTATTTAAGGTGAATAAATAAAACATCAAACTAATATTGTAATATTATTATTATTTAGAAATAAATTAAGTAACGGAAATTGAAAAATAAAAGTACTTTTACAAAATTCATTCATTTTCTAGTTTGATCCTCTTTGCGGTTAAATTTTGATAATTTCTTGTATTGCACTTTTTCATTTCATATTGATTTTCATCATTTTGTACTTCTTCTGCTATAATCTTTCCAGATGTGCAATCGTTGCCATTCATCTTGTCTAGCCTTGTGATAAATATATATGTGTGTCCAGAAGCAAGTTTTAGCGTCTTGTAAATTTAGCATATTGGTTTCTTTGTCGAGTATGACGTTCTGAAATTGCATCTATAATAAATCTTTTTATTAGTAACTGTAACAAATCATGAACATATTTTTTTTATTTGTTCATCGAAATTGACTTACAAGTTCATACCATTGATATTGTCCATCTCTTTTTTTCAAAGGAGGAGTATTTTCTTTCCCTGTTTTGACCAATAATCTGGAAAAACAAATTTAATTAAAACCAAGAGTAAAAAAAATCATATGAGCTACACATGAGAAGGGGACGTGCCTATATTGAACTAATTGATAAAAAAAGAAGAATGAAAAGGCATAACCAATAAAAGAATTGAACTTATTTCACTTACAAAAATTTAATTAGACCAAAGTAAAAATTAGTTATTTTGGAGGAAAATCTAATCAATTCGTATGTATTAATATGTAAATTTGAAAAGCCATAAAGTAGAAGAGAAATTACTCTTATATCTATGTTCAAATGTTGAAACATTAATTAAGTGTTAAAAAAACACAAAATAGTAATAATGGAAATTTTAAGTGTTTTTAACATTAAAAGCTTTAATTCTTACATATGAGAATCTGGGTACATTCCAAAAGGCATTCTACTTTCAAAATTACAATCAGGTAAGAGTTAATCAACTAATATTATCAACTGACCGACAAGGAAGAGTTAATTTATCAAAGAAGAATAGTTTTTACACCCAAAAGATAATCAAAAGAATATTAGGAATGAATATCATAAAATTAAAGTAGGAGCACAAGGAAAATTAACATCTGCAAGCTAAAAGGCTAGAAGGTCATGGAAAAGGCAACCATAATAGTATTGACTAATTCGTGTAGTATTTCCTTCTAATAATTCCACAGTTTTGGACAATGCTTTGAAGATGTTCTCCTCTTCTGATATCACAAAAGCCACTTCCAAATCTGAATAAACCTGTGATAATAAGGCCCTGTTTGGTAGAGTTGTGGAAAAGTGCTTATAGCTTATGCCTTAACAGCTTATACCTTATAACTATGAACATAAGCTGATTTCTGATTATAAATTAAGCTTCTTCTGCCCCACTCAAAGAATAAGCTGATTTCTGACTTACAAAAAGTTATAAGCTGCATTGTTAAGGTAAACCAAACACAACAAAATAGCTTAAATTAAGCTGAAAGCTAAAATAAGCTGAAAAAAAGTTGTACCAAACAGGGCCTAAGTTGGCTACCACTATTAGAAGAGTAATTCAACCATTAAACATGTAAAAGTGAATTTGAAATCATTGTAAGGACTCTCTAGTTTAGTTTAAGCACAATGGAAAAACCCAAACAGAACTATGAACAAAGAACGAAAAAAACAAAAAAGCTGGTACTTGTATAAAGCCTAACCTGATAATTGAGCGGTTTATCTATGAATTAGAGTGGGTTGTGCTATTTTTGTATGTTTACACAATCGCTAGGTTGGCAAACAAACTTGGTTGAGAGACAATGCGATCAACTGTTTGGTTTTGAAATCTGAAACAGAGTTAGTAACAAAGAATTATGATGTTATGACAATTCAGAATAACAAATCAACTCAAAAAATAAAAAATAAAAAAAAAAAAAAAAAAAAAGTGAATTGAAACTACTCAGCCCACTATTAGCGGTTTTAATAGAATCACTCACTCAAATTGATTGTGGGTTTGTATTGTTTATATAATACCTTTGAGTAGTTTAAGACCATTTTCACTCAATGGACGATATTGTATGTAACCCATGAAGCCACGCACTCGTTGTCCAAAAATTTATTTTATTGGATACAAATATTATGAATGATGATGCATATTATAATATAAATAGTATAACTGAATGATGATGCATATTATAATACAAATTGTATAATTGGACATGAGTCATGAGTCTGAAACAGAGAACTTGACAACTTCACAAAGTACCAATACAGTACCAATACATAATGTAAAGATATTCAGAAAAGTCGAACCTTTTGGAAGAAAAACTCTCCAAATCATCCAAAGTGTTTGATAGTAGATTGTGATATTTCAAGGTGTTTAGTTATTTTAAGGTGTTGAATTTCGAAAGATGTCTGTAATTGTTTGTGGTTTTACTGATGTTTAATAAGTTTAGAACGATATTTTTGAAATACCCAAAAAATAAAAAACATGACAATTTTTCATACTTTTATAATAGTAATAGATAATAGATAATAGATAATGAGATAATTTCTAGGGTAAAACACCATTAAATCCCAAATCAATGTTTGTTGCACCATTTAGTCCTACAATTTATTTTATAGACCGATAGGTCCTATTAAAATGGTAAAGACATTGGAGCCCATAATGTTAGCGCATGTCTTGCAAGTTGTAGGGGTAATTGCGGGTTTTGTTGATGTTAAATTTATTTGGGAAGTTGGTTTTGGTGCGTTAGGGGCTAAAATAGCCACAAAAAACAAAATAGGCTATTTTAGTCACAAAAAATAAAACATCAAATCCAACCCATAATCATTACACTCCTCTCTCACAAAAAAAGTCAAAAAAGCCGAAGAGCCAAAAAGCCCTTCCCAAACCAGGCTTTTTAGCCCCAGGCTAAAATAGCCAAAAAGCCAAAAGCCAAAAGCCAAAAGCCAAAAAGCCAACCCACTTCCCAAACGGAGACTAAATTGTCCATAAAGCCTACTATAGTGGTCTTTTGGGGCTTCTCTCTTGCTCAATCAAAATGTATCTGAGGAATTTGGAAAGTTCTGGACTGCCACCCGATGTTAGGGGAATGATGATATTTTCATTACTTTGAAATCCATTGCTAGCAACGTTAATCACTCGAGAACATTCCCAAAATTAACATTTGTGCCCTCCACCCAAACCCTAGAAATTCGAAACCCCCATTTCATATAAACATTGCCATAATCATGTGGAGCGTACATTGGAACATTGTGAACCGTGGTTTATAGTGACGTGGTGTTATCAGCGAGATCGCTTTATCCCGTAGTCTACGTTAGTGTTGCGGTCGTGGTTCCATGGTGTCAAGTATGTGGGTTAAGATGTGTTTGTGCGTTTTTGGTTTCTGAATGAACATTGAGTTGTATGACATTTACCTACAAATTTGGTTTCGACTGCGATTCCAGTAATGGTGTGTACTAGTTTGAATAGTGCTGAATGTTAAAGGCATTGTGGGTTTGTAAATGTATTGAGCTAATAGTGGTGTGGAGTACTGGTGTTTATGTTGGTATCTATGGTGGTGCCACTGTGGAGGGAGGGGTGGCCCCTGTTTTGTGTATCTGTTAATGGTTGGTGGGTTTTTATTATTATTTTTTCGTTAATGTTGTAGTTACTGGCACAAGTGTGAAATATGTATTGGGGTGTGTTGGGCAATTCGTGTGTAATGTGTGATCATTGGTGTGTGATGTTAGGTGATATTTACAAGTCTACTAATGCTATGAGTGTGTAATGTTAGTTTTTTAATGTTATTTTCAGCAGATGTATACAAAATGTAAGTATTGAATAAAGTCCCATAACATCGTTGTGAGGTACGTTATGTGTTTAAGAATTGAAGAATGTGTCGATATCAGGTACGGTGTAATAGGAATAACAACTTTTGTGTGATCACATGCATGGTTTGTAACAAACACCCAGATGAGCCGACGATGTGATGTGCACTCACATCATACCAACCAACTCACCATATAATGTGACTGAAAAAGCAGTGGGTTGGCAGAAAACATTGAAGATGGAATTGAATTTTTTCCCTTCCCGTTGGTTCGGATCAACGGCGCATAGAACAACGTATTGATATACTGAAGTCGTCATGTGAATTCGTACACCAATGACTGATTGTTAAGAAAAAGGCAAAAAGAAATTTGGGAATTATATCTCATCAGGTATTATTTTTTTATCTCTATAATATTAAAATTTATTTAAACTTGATACTATAAACAAAACCTTCCATCCATATATAATTAATTTTATAGTTATGCATGTTAATATAATATTTGGAGATTATACTTTGTTGTCATCAGGTATAATATTTTTTTAAGTTTCTTCACTTTATTTGTTTTAACAATTAAATAGGAGCTGAAATTTTATAATCAATTTATTTATACTTTTGTAGTTATTTTTTTTCTATGGTTTATTTAGATAGCTCTGTTTTTTGTGTGGATATTTTTAGGTGCATCCTACTCTTTGGTTTAGTTCTCGAATTATGGACAAATTTCTGAAAAGAAAATCAACTATTGTACAAGATTCATCTCAATCCCAAGAAACTTGTGGTGATAGTCACATTCAAGATTCTTCGAAGCGAATTCGTGTTGACTTGAACAACCTTCCTTCTGATCCAGGATCACGATCAAAAATTTTGTCATATCATCCTAATGATAGGGATGAAATAAGAAGAACATATTTACAAAAAGGACCCTGTCAACCTCTTAGTCACAATTTCCCTCAAAGAGATATTAGTGGAGTTATGCGTCGATTTAATTCTGCTTGGTTTAAAGAATACAAGAATTGGTTGGAATATAGTATTGAAAAAGATGCAGCATTTTGTTTATGTTGTTACTTGTTTAGGCCCGATTTAGGAAAGGGATGTGATACTTTTGTGACAGAGGGATTTAAAATTTGGAATATGAAAAACAAGTTACAAATTCATGTTGGAGGTGTTAATAGTGCTCACAACCAAGCTGTGAAGAAGTGTGAAGATCTTATGAAGCAAAAGCAACACATTCAAAGTGTTTTTCTTAAGCAGTCAAATCAAGAAAAAATTGAATATCGGACTCGCTTAAATGCAACTGTTGATTACATACGATTCCTTTTGCGTCGAGGGTTGGCTTTTTGTGGTCATGATGAATCTGATGATTCAAGTGATAAAGGAAATTTCCTTGAACTTCTACAATTTTTGGCAGATCATAATGAATCTATCAATAAAGTTGTATTGAGGAATACTCTGAAAAATAATAAGCTAACTCACCATGATATTCAGAAAGACATTGTGAATGCTGCTGCATGTGAGACTATCAATGCTATCATAAAGGATTTGGACAATGAGTTTTTTTCAATTTTAGTTGATGAGTCTCGTGACATATCAATTAAAGAACAAATGGCAGTTGTTCTACGTTATGTGGCCAAAAAGGGCATTGTTATAGAGCGGTTTCTTGGTATTGTACATGTATCAAATACAACCGCTTTATCACTTAAAGCAGCAATTGAGTCCTTATTTTGTCGACATGGATTGAGTATATCAAAACTACGAGGGCAAGGCTATGTTGGAGCCAGCAATATGCAAGGTGAATTCAATGGTCTTAAAGCTTTAATTTTGAGGGAGAATAAATTTGCATTTTATGTTCATTGCTTTGCCCATCAACTTCAATTGACTCGTGTAACTGTTGCTAAAAAGCACATTGACGTTGCTGAACTATTTTGCTCTGTTGCTAACATAGTGAATGTTGTTGGTGGCTCTTGCAAGAGACGAGATGCTCTTAGAGATGCGCAATTTGCTAAAATAACAGAAGCACTAGACAATGGTGAACTTAGAAGTGGGCGAGGTTTGATTCAAGAGACTAGTCTTAAACGTGCTGGTGATATACGTTGGGGATCACATTTTGGGACAATTATCAACTTGATTTTGATGTTCTCTTCTTCGATTGATGTAGTTGAGATTATTGAAGACGATGGCTTACAAACCGAGCAAAGAGTTGAAGCTCGTTCTATCATGAAGTTAATGTTATCTTTTGAATTTGCCTTCACTTCACAATTGATGAAAAATATTTTAGGGATTACAAATGAGTTGTCGTTAGCATTGCAAAAGAAAAATCAAGATATTGTCAATGCTATGACACTTGTTAAAGTATCTAAGCAACGATTGCAGATGATGAGAGATGATGAATGGGAATCTTTATTGACTGAAGTGTCTTCATTTTGTAACAAACATGAGATTTCTATTCCAAATATGGATGAAATATTTGTAGTTAGTGGGCGGCCACGACGCAAAGCTCTACAAATTGCAAATATACATCATTATCAAGTTGAGCTATTCTACACAGTCTTAGATATGCAACTTCAAGAGCTTAACAATCGCTTTTCAGAAGCAAATACTGAGTTACTTCTTTGTATGGCTTGCTTGGATCCTAGTAAATCATTCTTTGCTTTTGATAAGCATAAGTTGATTCGTCTTGCAGAGTTCTATCCATATGATTTTTCTGCAACAGATTTAAGGGTCCTTGACATCCAACTTCAAAACTACATTGTTGACATGCGCTTAAGTGAAGACTTTTTAGAACTTAAAGGAGTTGGTGATCTTGCTATAAAGTTGGTGGAGACAGATAAACATGTGATATATCCATTAGTCTATTTGCTTGTGAAATTAGCATTGACTCTACCTGTCGCGACAGCAACAGTGGAAAGAAGTTTTTCAGCAATGAAGTATATAAAGAGTAATTTGCGTAACCAAATGGGAGATCAGTGGATGAATGATTGTTTGGTTACATACATTGAAAGAGATGTATTTGATAGCATTGATAATGAGGAGATTATGCAACGTTTTCAAAATATGAAATCTCGTCGAGGGCAATTGTAATATTTTATCTAATTGCAAGTTGTTTTGATGGCAATTGTAATATTTTATCTAATTGCAAGTTTTTTTTTTTCGTCAAAACTTTAATATTAATATATTAGAGTTCTCTTTTATATTTGTTTTTTTAATACAGTTGTTAGATTTTAAGTTACTTAATGAATACCCTGATTAAAATTCCTGGAGTCGCCACTGAGTAATGGTGTGTACTAGTTTGAATAGTGCTGAATGTTAAAGGCATTGTGGGTTTGTAAATGTATTGAGCTAATAGTGGTGTGGAGTACTGGTGTTTATGTTGATATCTATGGTGGTGTCACTGTGGAGGGAGGGGTGGCCCCTGTTTTGTGTATGTGTTAATGGTTGGTGGGTTTTTATTATTATTTTTTCGTTAATGTTGTAGTTATTGGCACAAGTGTGAAATATGTATTAGGGTGTGTTGGGCAATTCGTGTGTAATGTGTGATCATTGGTGTGTGATGTTATGAGTGTGTAATGTTAGGTGATGTTGTGGTGGTCGTGGTCTCCTATTTACAAGTCTACTAATGCTATGAGTGTGTAATATTAGTTTTTTAATGTTATTTTCAACGGATGTATACAAAATATAAGTATTGAATAAAGTCCCGTAACATCGTTGTGAGGTACGTTATGTGTTTAAGAATTGAAGAATGTGTCGATATCAGGTACAGTGTCATAGGAATAACAACTTTTGTGTGATCACATGCATGGTTTGTAACAAACACCCAGATGAGCTGACGATGCGATGTGCACTCACATCATACCAACCAACTCACCATATAATGTGACTGAAAAAGCAGTGGGCTGGCAGAAAACATTGAAGATGGGATTAAATTTTTTCCCTTCCCGTTGGTTCGGATCAACAGCGCATGGAACAACGTATTGATGTGCTGAAGTCGTCGTGAATTCGTACACCAACACAGAGATTCAAAAAATACATATTATTGCTACGGATTAATGTTGGTTTTTGAATGTTAAAATGTTGATGAATGAATTTACTTAATCGTGCGTCATGTGAGGCAAAAGCCAGTAACGTTGTTGTTAGGTACGTAATGTGTTTAGGTATATTTTCTGTTTTTTTTTTTGTTTTGCACTGTGGGTGAAATGTTGAACAACAATCAATCTTGTGTTGGGGGAAGTAGCATAATGTTGCATGAAATCTGGTGGGTTTTTCTGAAATGTGTTTTGGTGGCTTGGCAAGTTGAATTTGTTTTTTGAATGTGTCCAATGGTGGTGTTACATGTGTTGTGACTGACATTAGCCAAACCTATGACGAATGATGGTAATGGCATGCATGGTTGGTAACAAACACCCAGATGAACCGACGATGCGATGTGCACTCACATCATACCAACCAACTCACCATTTAATGTGACTGAAAAAGCAGTGGGCTGACAAAAAACATTGAAGATCGAATTAAATTTTTTTCCTTTCCCCGTTGGTTCGGATCAACAGCACATGGAATGATGTATTGATATATTGAACTTGTCGTGAATTCGTACACCACAACGGACATTCAAAAAATAAATATTATTGCTACGGTAACATGTAATTCATGATCCGATGGAAAACGTAATAAACATGTAAATTGACATAAAAATTCAATTAAACTGCAATTGTATGACTATAAAGTAGGAGTGTGCACAGGGTTGGCTTATTGTGAAATAGGTAAGGTTTGGTGGTAAATCGGCAATGTAGCCGCCGTCTGTAAGTGTATCCTATGCCGCCGATTAAGCCATTCTTGGAGTTACTGCCGATTTCTATGAAACCCAAACATGTGTAGCTTTGCAAACTGAAATTGTTTATGTATTTTGGGAATATGAACCGTGTGTTTTGAGTTTTGGTTGTTGGGTTTGTGAGTGGTTGTTGTATTGACACATTACCCAATTTAATTCGCAATGTTAATTTAGGGCAAAGTTCCTCAGTGTATGTTGCAATCATTAATGTACATGGCGTTGGTATTCTGACATTGGTTCTTAGTAGTGATGTTGTGCTTATTGATGTTAATGGGCTAAGTAGAAAACCTGATAACCAACCTACCTATAAAGAAAATATTTCACGATAAGAATATAACATCAAGTGGGCAACACTATCGCCCCCAAAAATCACTTCGCAAATGCCTTCTTAACGGTATAGTAATGTTAACCACATACCTTATCCACACATGCCCACTAATAGTAAAACAAGGGTACACAAGTAAAATAAAAAAACTAATATAACAAACAAATACAATATACCAAAAAAAAAAAAAAGACTAAATGGTTTAATAAAAAACATTCAGGACTAAACGGAGCAACATTTTTTCATATGGGATTTATGAGTAATTTTTCCTAATTTCTAACTATTTCAAATTATTTATAAAAAAAAAATGACTTGTCTGATTTATTTAATAGCATCCTCGTAAAAGTCTGTCTTCACAATTTCACAATGTTTGTATAAAAAATTATTTTTAATTAGTCATGTACAAAAATTAAATCAAACTTTTATACACACACCTTGGGCCCCCCCTAAAAGCATTTCTGGTTCAGCCCCTGCGCCTTATGAAAACGTTTCTATTAAACATGTTTTGGGATTGATATTTTTTATTTTGTTTTATTAAAATATTTACTATTATTTTATTCGATAAATTTAAGAAAACAAAAAATTACGGAGGTAAAAATTAATGTGAAGACATCAATAAATCTCAAAATATAATTTTGTGAACTGTTTAGTCTTTCTTTTTCTTTTTTTTTTTTATTTATGAAGAAGTATCATTAAAGTGAAAATTACACAAAATGGTAGTCACTTACATGTTTAGAATTAATTTTTTAGGGATAAAATTGGATTTTTCCAAATATAAAATTACAAATTTGGGCAATCATCACTATAGAAGTTTTGGATTTTCGTTCATTTTGGAATAAATGCTACATTACAAAAAAAAATGTAACACTCTAATGTAACACTCAAATGCAACACACTAAAAAATAACATTAAAAAACTCTTTAGTAAATTTTTTTCAAACGTAACACTTCTCTGGAGATGTGGTTTGGAAATACTCTTTAGCCAAAGTAGACTCTCTTGATCCTCCAGTTTGTACCTAAAATGGGAATGAACAATCCAGTCGGGGGTGCCGGAATTAGCACTCCGACGGGCAAGTTAGTATTCCCTCAAGTTTTTCTTATATCTCAAGTTATCTTTTTTTTTAACACATACCCCCCTTTTGGCTGATACTCCTCCTTTTTATATTACTCTCTTGGGGCCCACTTTCTTATTATGGACACCTCGCCCTGACAGCTGGGCCCCCAGTCATTCAGTAGGTTTTACGGCTGTAGGGGCCGAATATTGGGAGTCGTAGAGATTCCGGAGAGTCGAACATTGAAGAATCAAGATTCGAAACATTCGGCCATTGCCACGGAAACTCAGACCCAACCTTATTCGGCTAGATGGTCGATTAAGCAAGGGGCCGAATGAAGATCGGTTTATTACAAAATATGCCGAATAGGAGGTTGGATTTGGAACTAATCCCGAGGCCCAAAGAAGAAAAGATATAAATAGAAGAGACATAAGCCAAAAAGAGGTATGTGATAATTGTGGTGTTTAACTTAGAATACAAGTAATCTAGAACGAGAGACTGACTTGTCCGTCGGAGTGCTAAATCCGGCACCCCCGACCGGAGTGTTTACTTCCTTTCAGGTGCCTATCGGTGGATCATGAGCGTCCCCTAGGATCAAAAGAGTATTTCCAAAAACCACTTCTCCACAATTGGCGGCGTCTGTGGGAATACTCAAGCATATCCATGGCGGACGTGACGGAGGACCCTCTAATAGTCACCGATGAAAACACACAGGTAGACATTCTCACTCCAACAAACACGCACGGGCGGGAGCTTATCCCAGCAAGATGCGTTTTGAACTTCGCCTCACCTTCGACTCCAGAACATGAGGCAATGCAAGCGATCATGGAGCAGGCAAAGCAAAATGAGCAGAGGTTGGAAAACTTGATCGATGAGAACGAGCGCCTCCGTCAAGATTTGGCTTTGGAGGTAGCAAAATCCAAACAAGTAGTGCCCCAAAATCCCGAGCGACCTCTGAAAGCAGGTAATCGATGACCTCGAGCCCGACTTCAAGACACCGATAGCAACTCCGACTTATTATCCCCAGATCCCAAGAAGAATGGACGATCTAAAGTTTCCAGTTCCTCTGGAGAAAGTCCGCATATAAAGAGGGCCCCATCATTCTACACCAGGCCATCAGAAGCGGTGGCACCTCCCGACACGACAAGAAGGGATAGGCGGTGTGAACATCGCAAAGATCATGATCGTGACAGTAACTATGCCATGAAAGACCTTCAGGAGTTGGTCCGAGATGTTCAACCCCAGCACCATGCCCAAACGTGCCAACCAGACCAATTGTACTTCGGCGGGAATCACCTCCGCTTGCAGTCATCCATATGATATACAGCTTGCCAACGTCCTCAGCCATGCATACAATTCAAACACACGCTGCATCCCAGAAGCAACTCACGCCGGCGAAACGGCCTCATGAAGCTCCAAGTATCACCTTCGACAATTCTGATCTTATCTGCATAACAGTTCCCCACATCGATCCATTAGTCATTGAACTACGCGTCAACTGATTTACTATCAAGCGCGTTCTCATAGACCAGGGAAGTACTTCTGAGGTTATGTATTACAAGACCTTTATCAAACTTGGCTTAAACAAATCAGACTTGTCTCCGGCTCCTTATCCATTATTCGGCTTCAACGCAAATCCAGAATATCCGATGGGGAAAATCATACTACCCGTCCGAGCAGGCTCCTGAACAGTGGATGTGGAATTCTTGATCATCAGGCTGCCTTCGCCGTACAATCTCATCATGGGGCGAACTTGGTTGCATACTATGCGGGTTGTCCCAAGCACCTATCATCAGCTTCTGCGCTTCCCGACAGAATACGGCATCGAGCAGATCTGTGGTTCCCAACAATCGGCACAAGTATGCTATCTCCTCTCCGAAAAGATGCCAAAGGATTTACAAGTTAATTCCATTGAGGTGCCAGATCGTGAAAGCCTCGACGATGTCGGGCGGCTCCCGAATGAGAAAGCCACGGAAGACTTAGACCGAATTGAGATTGACGGCAATCTAGAGAGATTCTTCATGGTCGGCACCTCCCTAAATCAAGTCGACAGACAA